TTGAAGCTGAATTTTGTTGGAAGTAGCTTGGGTAATCCAGGGTTATCTGGAATGGGGTCCTTTAGGATTCAGAGATTGTGTTAGGGCAGAGCTATTAGCAATTTGCAATTTGCAAACCAATTTGGGTAGAACATTTAATCATTGAAGGGGATTCCAAGTTGGTGGTGGGCTGGTTGAAAAACCCCGAGGATACTATATGGTGCTACAAGAACGAAATTAAGAAACTCAAATTGGTTGACAAGGAATATGTTGGTTTCTATACAGTCAGGGTGGGGAAATCAGCAAATGCTTTGGCTGATGTGCTACCCAAGCAAGGGGTAAATAGGGAAGAATTGTTTTGGGCTCAGCTGTGATTTCTGTAATTTATTCCTAGTTTACTTGTTAGCTATTGGGAGAGGCTGCAGCTTGTGCCTCTTCCTGGGATGCTGTATGAAATTACAATTTTAAATCAGTTTCTTAGTTAATAAAAATTCACTATTACTAATAAAAAAAAATGCCCTGGGACCGGATGGCTTTGCCTTGACTTTTTATAAACATTGTTGGGTGGATATTCTAAACATCATTGGAGGAATTCCATGTAACGGCAGCATTGGAAAAGAGTCTAAACTCAACTTTCATCACCCTTATTCCAAAGAAGGGGCTGAAGACATAAAAGATTATAGGCCCATTAGTCTGATTGGCAGGATGCATCATCTTGGAGTGCGAGGGGGCTTTTGTCGAAGGTTGATGGTGGACGGGGTCCTAGTAGTAAATGAATTGATTGACTCGAGGTTGAGAAGTGGAAGGGGTGGTTTGCTTTGCAAAGTAGATTTGGAGAAGGCATATAATCATGGGAAATGGAGTTTCCTGGACTATGTACTTAGCAGGGTGAATGAGAGGCTGGAAAAGGAAAGGGGAGAGTGGTTTCCTGGACTATGTACTTGCGAAGTGTTGGTACTCCTTCCTGGACTATGTACCCAATCTTGACAGGAATGGAAGCTATCATTAAAAAGAAAAGGAGGGATTTCCTCTGGAGAGGCTGGAAAGAGAAGTTCCACCTAGTAAACTGGAACAAAGTTTGCAAGCCCAAATCTCAAGGGGCTATGTACCCAATCTTGGCAGGAATGGAAGCTATCATTAAAATGAAAAGGAGGGATTTCCTCTTGAGAGGCTGGAAAGAGAAGTTCCACCTAGTAAACTGGAACAAAGTTTGCAAGCCAAAATCTCAAGTGGGGCTGGGTGTTAAAAGGGTGAAGAATATCAATATTGCTTTGCTAGGGAAGTGGTTTTGGAGGTTTGGGGAGAGTCAAAGAGGGCTGTGGAAAAGAGTGGTACAGGCCAAATATGGAGATAGGAATTTTGGGTGGGACCCAGGAGCTTCAAATCAGTCCTATGGGTGTTTGGTTTGAAAAGGAATTGAAAAGCCCGATATTTCGTTTGCAGCAGGTGTAAAGTTCAAAGTAGGAAGTGGGGAGTGGGTCAAATTTTTGAAGGATGTTTGGTGTGGGGAGAGGTCCTTGTCTGAGAGCTCCCCTGCTTTGTTTGAAGTGGCAGTGAACAAAGAAATCAAGATTACTGACTGTATGCAAATTCAAGATGGTAGCATGGTCTGGATCCCACAGTTCAGGAGGAATCTAAATGGTTAGGAAGTGGATGAATGGATAGAGCTACTGCAACTTTTATATGGTACATAGGTGGAGTTTGCCAAGTCTGACAGAAGAGTCTGGAAGTGGGAGAAGACCGGAAGATTCACAATTAAATCCTTTTATAAGGCTTTTGACATTGCAGAAGGATATCCAGTCCCAGCTCATATCATCTGGTGTAAAAATGTTCCTTCACATAGTTGTGTACTATGTGAAGGACAGCTGGAAACAGTGGATCACCTTTTACTGCACTGCAGCTTCTCCTTTCAGATTTGGAACAGAATTTCACACTTGTTTGAAGTACAACGTTGCTGCCCAGGATCAATAGAGGACTTTGTAAAGGGTTGGAGGGTGGAAGGGCTGAGTAAGAGAGGGAAATTAATCTGGAATGTAACTGTAGTAGTCATTTTCTGGTGCCTTTGGCAAGAAAGAAATGCATGGGTCTTCAAGAGTAAGATAAGTTCTGCTGATTCTATTTATCAGAAAATTTTGGGAAAGATGTTCTCTTGGTTGGCTGGTCACAGGTTGTTTAAGGGTGTAGGTTTTGAAACAATAATCTTTTTGTAAAGCAGGGTGGGGGTCAAGGTTATAGGGAACAACTTTTCTTGGTTCCTGAGTACATCATCTTGTTGTATTTGTTCATACTAAATACTAATATAATGATACTTTACCTTTTCTCAAATAAAAAAATTCCTTCACAAAAAAGAATTGTCATATGCAAACTGTAAATGAGTGAATGGCACCTTGTCTTTCCCAATTATCTAACCTTTCATCAATTGTCTCAAGTAAGCCCTTTAGATAAGTCTACTGAGGGCATCCACTACAAGTGTAGACAAGAAAGGGAGAGAGGGTACCCCCTGCCTAGAGGTGTCAATTGGACTGGATTTGGTCCAACCCAATCCAGTCCATTGTGAGTCCACTTAAATAAAACAATACAAATGGACTGGACCCAATCCAATCCAAATCCAATACAAACCAAATCCAATTCAATCCAATCCATTAAAATGTAAATGGACTGGATTGGATCCAATCCAAACTGAATGAAATATCAAAACTTATATAAAAAAGAACATATAAAAAAGTGCAAAAATATATTAAAATGAAGAAATTCTGAAAATTACAAAATATACCCTTTTGGCTTTGTAAAAGCACATCTATAAAAGTGCTTTGATAAAAGTACTTTCATAAAAGTGCTTTTACAAAAGCACTTTAATGAAAGTACTTCGTAAAAGTACTTTTACAAAAGTACTTCCATAGAAGTGCTTTGTAAAAGTACTTTCTTAAAAGTGCTTTTGTAAAAGTTCTTTCATAAAAGTGCTTTCATAAAAGTGCTTCTATAAAAAGTACTTCCATAAAAGTGCTTTTGTAAAAGCACTTCCATAAAAGTGCTTTTTGTAAAAGTACTTTTATATAAGTACTTCCGTTAAAAGTACTGTAAAAGTGATTTCATAAAAGTGCTTTCGTGTAGGTATTTCTATAAAAGTTCTTTTGTAAAAGTACTTTTATAAAACTGCTTCTGTAAAGGTGTTTTCATAAAAGTACTTTTGTAAAATGCTTTCGTAAAAGTATTTTTATAGAAGTGCTTTTGTAAAAGTGTTTTTATAAAAGTGCTTTTGTAAAAGTACTTTCATAAAAGTGATTTTATGACAGCTTCAGTTTTGATTGGTTTTAAATTGGACAAGGTTTTGGCCTCATGATCTGATTATTGGAAATTTGGTTTAGGTCCAATTCAAACTAATAAGAATAAGGACCAATTTATTTTGGATTGGCCCAATCCAATGATTATAATGGACCGTCCAAGTCCGATTTGATAAGGTTTGGATCGGATTGGATCTGATCCAAAACCGGTTGATTGACACCCTTACCCCTGCCTAATTTCATGCCTAGCAGGAAAAAAAAAGTCCACCATTGTGCCATTCATTAATACCGAGTTCCCGCAAGTATTCAAAGTTCAAACAACCCTAGATCCTTTTACATCATCTCTCTCCAAAACCATAGTGAGATAAGACTTCTATAAAAAAAGTCCAATCCATCAAATTATAGGTTTTCTCTAGGTCCAATTTGCATAGCACACATTTTTTTTGCTGACCTTTTCATTTCTTCAAAGCATTCATTTGCAATTAGAATTTGACTAATAATTTGTCTATTTTGCACAAAAGCCCCTTGATTTGACAAAATAATGGAGGGGAGGACTTAACTAATTCTTACAAACAAGATCTTGGTTATTATTTTATAGAGTCTGTTCACCAAACTTATGGGTCTAAAATCTTTAGGGTAAACCACCTCTTTCTGTTTTTGGGATCAAATCAAGGAATGTGGCATTCAACCCCGGGTTAATCACACTCCTCTCAAAAAATTCACTGAACACTGCTACGAAACCATTCTACAAAATATCCCAACAATCTTGATAGAAAGCCATAGAGAATCCATTTGGGCCTAGAGCTTTGGATCTATCTATGTTAAAAACAGTATCCTTGATTTCTTCCAACTCAAATCTTCTTCCCAGCCAGTTTTTTTTGACTCTTCAGATAAACTAGGCCAATCCAGACCTTCAACTCAAATTCTTTCATTTAAAGGTTTTCTATGGATTGATCTAAAATGTTCTGCAAATGCCCTAGCAATCTCCCCATGTTGAGTGATAACCTCTCTCCTATTTCCAATTTAGAAACAAAATTCTTCGTTCTTCTACCAATAGCCATTTGCATGAAGGAACTTAGTGTTTCTATCATCCTCTTGAATCCATTTTGACCTAGATTTTTGCCTCCAACTAATCTCCTCTTTAAACAAAATGTCCTCAAATTGCTTCTTCAATGACCATCTTAATTCTTTATCCCTTTCTTCCAGAGTACCCTGAGATTCCTTAACATCCAACACTTCAATTTGTTGAACCAGCTCCTCTTTTTTGTTCCCAATCTCCCAAAATGCTCTAAATTCCACACTTTGATTTTATCTTTTAATTCTTGCAATTTCCTGTGAAACGTCATTCCTTTCCATTAATTCTAGGTCTGCTTCCTTCCCATCATTCCTTTACTTTCTCAACAAACCCCGGATGACATAGCCACATGTTTTCAAACCTAAAGGGGGGCATGACCTCCACCAAGAAGCTCCTCTTTATAAAGTGTAATAGGCCAGTGATCAGAAGTTACCCTAGGTAGTGCCCTAGACACAACATTGCCCCAATGCTTATCCTAATCCATAGAAAAGAGGTGTTTTGCATCCCCAAAGACCATGCTGCTCCTTTCTTGCTAGATTCTACATTATGGAGCATATCCCCATGATTTTCCCACTTTTATTTGTTGGTGAGAAGAATGCTTTCACCTGTTCTAATAGGACCAAAGTTTGCTGATTCACTTGATAAAACATGTCTTCTCTCTATAGGACTTGAAGATCAGTCTGGATCATCCAAAACTAAGTGGAGAAACAACTGTGCAAAGTGCAATTACAGAAGTGGCTGCAATGGTGGGGGAGAATGTAAAACTTAGAAGGGGGTTATCAGTGTCTACATCTGCACATGGTGTTGTCTCTTCCTACCTCCATACTTGTCCCCAACCAGGTACTGTAACTCCAAACAGCTTTCTCATGTTTGTGGCTTTTTGGGAAGATTAGTGGGTTTTCATTCTGGAAAAGAATTGGTACATGATAATCACTGCAAGAAAATATATGATACTACATCCTTGTATTGATATGGTGCAGGTTTGGGTCGTATTGCGGGAATTCTGACTCTGGAAGTAGAGGATGATAGTGTTCGGTTGGATGCTCTCCAGGGAATTGGTTCACAATTGGCAATGCATATAGTGGCAGCAAAACCATTATTCTTATCAAGGGAGTCTGTTTCTTCTGAAGCAATAGAGAGTGAACGTGAAATACTGAAGTCTCAGGTAATTTATGACACATCAGTTTTGCACTACTGGTTGGGACCTGTAAACTATGAATCTGAGTCATCATGGCTAGACACAAATAAGAAAATGGAAATTATTAATTAGGCCCTCATGATCTGATTCCGTTTTAGATTTTTATTAGCGGATTCAATTAGATTAAATTGTGATGTGTTCTGGTTACAGGAAGGTTGCAAAGTCAGTTATTTTCTTGCTTGTTCTTAGTTTTAATGTGATTGTTATGCCACCTCCATTTTTCTGAGAAAAATAAGTCAGCCTTGATAAATCTAATGTTTTAGACCTTTTTATATGAATATTTTTTAGATCTTCATGTGCTACGTAGTCAGTTTTATTAAACTTTTGTCTAGGTGATTGCTTTGCCTGGTTAATGTCTGTATCAGGGTCCAGGCAGGCTCCACTTAAGTTTCCCCTTAGGGATGCCAAGGCGAGAAGGGATTGGCCCAAGGACAAAAGAATTCAACACTTCTAACAAAACATTGTTATATTTAAAGAAGAATGCCTTACTAGAGGCACAAGGGAGGCTGCATGAGAAGTTAACTTTCTGAAAAAGTTTCTCTTCTCTAAAATACAATTTTTCACTTGTGAATAATGAAATGTCTTTCCTCCCTAACTATTATTAGTTGGCCTACTTTATAAGAAAAAATGTATTTCTGAAGGGTGTCAAGGGATATCATTGAACTAATGGGCAATAATCGCAAAGGGTCCTTAACTGATGGATGGTTTTAATTGGCGGTATCATCCCTTATACCTGGTAGAAATTGAATAGGCAATTTATCAGAAAGCAAGTATTACTTTCCCCATCATTATCATCTGCTACATTTTTGTTGCTTCATACTAGTTGTGTTGTATGCTTTATCAATAATGTTTGTAGATTCATTAGTTGAATTTTGATGGAAGTTCTATAGGCAACGTACGTCTCTCTGGAGTTGGGGGGAGTACTCAGAGATGGGGAGGGCAGACTGATTGCTTTGTATTCTGGACCAATAGTAATGGGTGGCTCATTTAGAGATGAGGTTATGACTGTACTTCAAGGTTTGAGGTTGGCTAAGCAATGGGGCTTTCACCAAATTGAGGTGGAAGGGGACTCTAAGTCTAAGCTACTAATAGGTTGGCTGCAGCCAAATATCATGGGGGTCTGGACCATAGACAGCTTGTGAGGGAAATAAATTGCATAGCAAGGGAGGTTGGAGCATTGTTCAAGTGGGCTAGAAGATCAGTAAATGGATTAGCTGATACTTTGGCAAATCAAGGGACCCTTGGGGACAATTTGTTTTGGGCTGTTAACATTTTTAGATAAATTGTGGGGTCAACACCCTTGCTGTGTGGTGGTTGACAGTTGTACTCTTTTATTTGATCCATTAATGAAGGTTACCATTTCCAATCAAAAGAAAAAAGTCAAACATATAAACAGAAATGTAGGAGGCTGACCTCCCATAATACATAAAAAAATTATATATATTGAACTCAAGTTAGCATTAATCCCATCTATTTTGAGTTACCTACATGAATCCTTTCCCATTATTGTGCTTTGTCAGGAGCCATAGTTTCTGTCATATTCCAAGTCCTTGGATCATTTCTTATCACTTTATCTGATATTTTCTTTGGTCTTTCCTTTTTCTTTTAAGATCTTCTTACTTCTACTAAGTAACTCCTCACTGGTGCAGGCATTGGTTGCCAATGCAAAAACCAAACCATCTTAGTGAACTTACCCTCCTAGCCATCAATTGGGGCTGCTCCTATGCCCTCTTTAATGTGTTATTTTTTAATTTTCTCTTTTCTCCTAGCCATAGGTCCTCCCAAAATTTGATTTTATTTCCCAAATTGATACCAAACCTGGTATGAGTCAGAAAAAGTGGAAGAATCTTCTGGATAGCATTCCAAGGAGAAGCACTTCAAGCCCTGTCAGATATTGCATCCATCCCAAATGTTCTCTGAAAGTTCATGAATGCTAACTACCACTCTATGCCATAGTTTGTCCGTTTCCCTAGGAAATTTCCAGACATTTCCTTAAAAGTGTCCAATTCTTTTTGTTCAATCTCCCCAACCCTAGTCCACCACACTCCTTTTACACACAACCTCCCATCTAATTAAGTGATATTTCTTCTCCTCCCCGGCTCCCAAAGAAAGTCCCTCATAATTTTCTCAATTTTTTTCCTGGTAGCCTGAGGCATGCAAAGCACTGAAAGATAATAAATTGGAAGATTAGCTAAAGTGGATTTAATGAGTGTTATCTTACCTCCCAAAGAAAAATAATTTCTCTTCTATCCCGCCAATTTCCTTTCAAATATTTCCACAATCGGGTTCTAGAGGGAGCCCTAAATATTTCAATGGCCAGCCATTTGAGTACTCCCTAACTCCCTTCTCCAATTTTCGATCATCGTTTGACTCAAATTGACTCCAATAACCATACTTTTACTAAGATTCACCTTTAAATTTGCCACTTTCTCAAAGAAACTCTCTAAGAGCCTTAAATTTCTTGCATCTGGCTCTCCTCCACCTTCACAAAGGATTATGGTGTCATTTGCAATTGTAGATGGGTCATCCTATTCTCCACCCCTTAATTAAACCTCTCTCATCCACTTTCAAAATCAATTTGCTGAATACTTCAATGATGAGAGTGAACAGGAAAGGGTAAAGTGGGTCCCCTTGCCTCACTCCCCTTAGGGCACCAAAGAAGTCCTTCACTCTTCCATTCACCAAAACTGAAAAATGGAAAGTCTGCCAGCATCCTTTTATCTATTTACACCACTGTACACCAAAACTCCATTTATCCATGATTTCAAAGCCTTCTCCAAGTCCAATTTACACACATTACCCTTCCCGACTTTTTAAAATCCTCAACACATTCATTGGCATTGTGAAATGATTGAATGTAGGATCCTTTTCAATCGAAGGGATAAGACTTCTACTGCTTCTGCTTCTTTCGCTGAGCTGTTCTTCTTTCTCATACAGCTTTTGATTATCCCCCTTCTAGGTTTTTGCCTTCTGGGATTATGAACATTTGCTTATTCCCTTTCTTGAATCTTTCTTCTAATGACACAGACCAGCCTTTTGAGTTCCTCTTTGCTGTGCAGTATTCCTTAATCAGGTATCTGAAGGTGTCTTTCCATTCCACTCTCCAACTTACATTCACAGCACCATCCAGAAAGCTTTGAAATCAGAAAACCGCCTCCCTCACTAGAAGAACTGTCTTTCCTGCCCTGTCGAACCTTGACTGTAGTCTCCTTTTGATGATACATCTCCTCCATCAGAAACTCCTTCATTTCCACCTTGATGAAACTCCTCCAACTCCTTGCTGGCGAAAAGCTTTGTTCCATCTTGTATCAGTACTGTCTCCCTGCATCCTTATTTTCATTTGATTTTATTTAATGTCATCACAATTTCTATTTCCAAACCAATCCGAGTGGTCAGGGAAGAAAGAGGTCCCAACGCTTTGAAGCAATTTGTTGAGTGAATCTTTGAAGGATGAGGTTATTGTTGATGAAAAACATGAAGTTGAAGGAACAATTGACCTGGAGAAAGTGGTAAATACAAAGGTGGAGGTGAGCAAATCTTTGGTCTTGTTTTTTTATCAGTGGGGAGGAATGTGAAGGGAAGCTTTTAAGAAAATGGGAGAAAGATTTGGTGTGCCTAGGAAATGCAGGGAGAACAAAAACCACTATCATATAAAATAGAGACTTCCTCTAGGATATACTATCTAATTATGATAATCATGTAATACCAAAATAGCTTAACATGTAGAGTGCAATGATTTAAAAGGCATGCCTAGGCGCACAGGCGAGGCGCATTTTAGGGTAGGCACCTTGCTCAGGTCCTAGGCGCAACACTTTCAAAAGGCGCACGCCTGATGCGCCTTTGGCCTAGGCGTGCGCCTTTTAAAAATTTTACGCTCCGAGAACCCCCTATTTACTAATGTTGTTCATTCATTCATTTTAATAAAATATCTTCTTAAAAGGCAATTAAATTTATAAAATCATTATTTTTTTTGTGTGAGAATCAAGAATTTAAGACCCTAACATGGACTTGTTTAGGCTTGCCTCGAGGGGCATGGCACAAAGGCGAATCGTAGAATCAGGAATGTAATATGTTTTACATCACATTAGCTACTTGAAGTAATGCAATTGAGGAAAAAAAAGAGATTGTGGGCTTTACATGCTTGAAAATGTTTTATATGTTTGATTATCTTTAAGTTTTCATTTGAATATGCTTTACATGTTATGTTTATGTAATTTAATTTTAGATAATAGGTTTTTTAAAACATTAATCTTAAAAATTAAGTTTATATTTCTTATTAATATTATGCTTAATATTTTTGAATATTTTTGCATTTTTTGAATTTTTTTTTGCATTTTTTGAATTTTCTGACATTTTTTATTTTTTAGCTTTTTTTTTTGTATTTCTGTGCCTTGCTTCATAAAGCTGCATGCCTCGCCTTGTGTGTTGTGCCTCGGGCACAAATTGGCCCTTGCGCTTTTAAAACACTGGTAGAGTGACGCCTAGGTGATGAGACACTCATGGAGGAGGGTCGTCTCTCTTAATCACCAAGATATTTTTTACATGGTGCTGTTGGATACTTTTATATTCTTAACTTTCTGAGATTATAATAAAATAAAACATACATTATTAAACTAAATTATTCAGCTGGAGTTAAAATACTAGTTTCTTTTTATTATTGTTCTTATTTGTTAGGGTTCAATCAAGATGTATGCTATCTTAAACCCTCAGACTTCAAAACCTGAACTAATAAGCATGGAATAACTCAAAATTTTGTCCAATCAACACATATTGATAAGAATATTTATCAATACATGTATGTTCCACAGAAATATAATACCTTACCTGTTTCAAATAAATAAAAATCGTTATTTTGAATTTTAATGTGTTTATATTGTCTCTGACATTGTTCAAGATATGGTTAAATTTATGCTTGTATAGTCCTCATGTTTTTTCACAAGAAGCAGCTTTGAGTTCATACTGCTGCCATGAAATTCTTTAATGTTCATCTGGTTTCCTACATCAGGCAGAGGCAACAGCAAAATCTCAGATGGCCATAGAAAAAATGGTGGAAGGTCGTCTGCGGAAGTACTTTGAGGAAGTAGTTCTTTTGGAGCAGAAGTTTGTTGTGAATGACACAATTAATGTCAAGGTACTGTTGTTTGCTCGTTATTAGGATTCATAATTTGATATTTGTTTCTTTATGACACAATATATGTAAGGTGTGTGGACAATTCCTACATGATCAGAATTCATTTTGTTTCTTCACCTGCACGATGAATCTATCATGAATGTGATTTTGTGCACTTAGATCTACCTTTTTTGATTGCTATGTGCTAGTGGATTATGTGTTACTCTTTGCTCCTGTAACTTGGATCAGTTACCATGAACCATATGCTACTTTATTTTTCTTAGTCGTTTCAAGTGACAGGTCCATAAATATTCCAAGGGGTCTTTATGTGGTGGAAACACATGATAGTGATGCCTGACTCATCTGTACAAAGTATACTTATCCAAACCTTTGATTGAATTAAGGGCAGAATAGACAAATTTAGCAAATTAATCTGTTATTAGATTTTACAAAACTTTTTAACTACAAACTGATATGCCAATTTGGAACTGTGAATCATGCAAGAAAAATTGCCTGGCCATGACATCCTAAGGTAAAGCTACAACTTTGAAATCTGGGCAGGTCATGGGTTTAGGATCAGGCTGACATATCTGAAAATGTGGTTCAAGTTTGAATGTGCCCACTTTGCGAGGAAAAAAAGGGAAGAAGAAAGAAAGGAGCCAAATGTTAGGTCTGTATCTGGTCTGCATCTCCTTAAGACACTCTGGATAGCTGGGCCATCATTTAGGATCATGAAATCAACATGACTTTAGCCAATGAGCCATTGGCTTTTCTAGAGTGGCCATTGACAACGTTTTTTCTTATTTATTATCTTGTGCTCTGCATATGGAATCTCTACTGGCTATCTTTATGTATGCATACTGATTATTTTTGCTTTTTCGGTAGAAAAGCATACTGATTATTTTTGTGCAACTCTGCCAGTCACTACTAAATGATCTATCAAAGGAAGTGGGCTCACCTGTGAAGATAGGTAAATTTGTCAGAGTGGAAGTTGGAGAAGGAATTCAGAGGTAATCTCTTGTACTTACTGACATGTTTTTACTTGTTTCTGTGTGTGTGCATGTATGACTTGTATATATAAGAAATCTAGGGAATTGCAGGCAACTTTATGTGAAGATATATCTTGATGTACATTATTAGAGTAGTCCTTGTTGTACAGTATCATAGTTTTTACTATTTTATTTGTTCTTTTTATCTTTCAGCCCTGTAAGGGCATTCTTTTAACTGTACATACTTTTTATCTCTTTAATATAAAGGAGGCTCTTTGGGGTGGGGGTCGACTATTCTTGACACCTCTAGATCTGGTTTCTTCTAGATCTGAGTTTTGTTCACATGGTATCAAAGCGTGTTGCTCTTTGATCTTCCTTCTCTCTGATCCATCTTGTCTTCGTGATCTACTGAAAGCCTACAGCTCTGTCGAGTGGTCCTGGACTGTTTTGATATATCTAGGCACTCTTCTGTTTTCTGCGCACCCAGAGAGAGATTTTATTGGACCTCTCTTGTTTGACCTCCGTTTGCAGCAAGAATTGAAAGGAATTGTCGCCTAGCCCTTCTCAACATATTCTGAAATTTTTACGGAGATCCGTGAAGTTTTGAGAGAGATCTGGACTCTTCTTCTTGGCTACTGCGCCTAGACTTTCCTTTTCTGGACTGTGTATTTAGCTTTTCCTTGTTTTGGATCTTGAACAATCTCTGGTGAAAGTAAGGGGTTTCTATCTCAGTTTTTTGATTCTCTTGGATTGATTACAACCTATTTCACTTGTCTTTGGATCAAGTTTTACTTCAGATTAGTTTCTTCAAACTTCAGTTGAACCCTATTTGTGCTATTGTCTTGCTGTAATGGCTTCAGACAGAGGTGATATCATCCCTGTAAAGATGAATGGATAGAACTATGGGATGTGGAAGTTCCACTTCGACTTTTATGTTGAGGGAAAGGGTTTAGAAGGGTATCTAAACGAAACGGTCACCAAACCAGTTGAGGCCGAGGCCAAAGCTTTACAGCAATGGAAGTTGGACAATGGTAAACTTGTTTCTTGGATTCTGAGTTCTATTGACTATCATATATCTGTACTTATGAGGAGAATGAAAACAGCATATGAGATGTACGTGTATCTAAAAAAAGTTTATCAACAGTCCAACGTATCTAAGCAATATTAGATAGAATCAGAAATATTATCTTACAACCAAGGAGATAGGAGGATACAGGAGTATTATTCTAGTTTTCTTGATTTATGGGTTGAATATGAGATTGTTCACATTGAACCCTCAGATCTAGTGGAGTGTGTGAAATATCTCCAGAAGCACTTTGAGAAGAGAAAGGTGACTCAGTTTTTGATGAGACTTGGACCTGAATATGAGATAATCAAGTCCAACATTCTGAATAAGGGAACACTTCCAGATATGGATTATGTTTTAGGGGAACTTCTGAGGGAAAAGACTAGACTTCTCACTGTAGCCGGGTTCGATGAGAAGATGGCTGAAGTTGGGGCTGAAACAACCTTTATTGCTCATGGGGGTAAGAAGCCAACCTCCAAGGACCTCTCCAAAACCTAGTGCTACGAGTGTAAGGGTTTTGGACATATTGCATCTCACTGTAAGAAGAATGTGTGTACCTATTGCAAGCAACATGGTCACATCATTCCGGACTGTCCGGTTCGACCAGCTAAAGGCTCTTAGAAAAAGACTCAGCCCCAGGCCTATTAAGTAACAGATGGACCCGCAACAAACACTGTATCTACGAAGGGCGAGTCTTCAGTGAAAGGTGAATCAACAGGTGTCATGGATGAAGAAAGGGTTCGACAATTGGTATTTTCTGCTATTTCCTCTGCTTTCTCTGCTATTGGCTTGTCTGGTAAGTTCTCTACATATTGTTCTTCCCCTTTACATTCTTGGATTATAGATTCAGGTGCCACCAACCATATGACAGGAGCCTACCTCAACCACCCAATCCCTTCCACTAAAACTCACCATAAACATATTATTACTGCTAATGGTGAAAAGTTAGACATCATTGGTAGTAATGACCTGTCCTGTCAATTGTCACCAACCAGATCCTTTCCTCTCTCCAAAATCCTCTTAATACCCAACCTTACTACTAATCTGATTTTTGTTGGTCAACTTGTTGATGAAGGTAATGTTTTCACCTTTTCTCATGATGGTAGCTTGATACAGGACCGATACACTGGGAAGGTGAAAAGGGAAGGGGTATAGGCTGGGCCATCTATCTGCACTGGGGTTCGAGAAGTCTCAACTAAGGGCATCTTTAGCTTTACTTAGTTCTTCTTTTTCTGATTCTATGTTGAGTTATAGAAATAATGTTTGGGATTTATGGCATAAACGATTGGGTTATCCATATTCCCCAAAATTAAAGTTTTTGTTTGACTCTGGATTGATTAAGAATAAAATTTCCCCTGTTGATACTTTTGATGTTTCTTGCACTACGTGTTGTTTTGAGTAAAAGTCATGTTTTACCATTTTTTCATAAATCTGAACATGCCACTAAATCTTTTGAGATAATACATAGTGATGTTTGGTCTGCTTCTATTACTTCACGATTGGGGTACATATATTTTGTATTATTTATAGATGATTGTACCAGATATACTTGGATTTATTTTTTGCGACACAAATCAGAAGTCTTTGGTGCATTTAAGTTGTTTCATACTATGGTGCAAAATTGATTCAAGTGCAGTGTGACTATCCTCCGCTCAGATTCAGGGGGAGAATATAGAGATGGAGACTTCTTGGCATATTTGATGAGTCATGGAATTCAGTCTCAGCGCAGCTGCCCAGAAACTCCACAACATAATGGTGTAGCTAAACGGAAGAACGAACACATTCTCGGTGTTGTGCAGACATTACTACAAGAGTTTCATACTCCAACTTCGTTTTTGGTAGAAGCAGCCAGTATAACCGTGTTTTTTATCAATTTTCTTCCATCCTTTGTTCTAGGCAACACCTCTCTCTTCCAAAAACTTTTTGTTTATCCCCTAGATTTCTCTAGCCTTCATGTTTTTGGATCTTTGTTTTGTTCATCTTCCTATTCGTGAACGATCTAAATTAACTGCTCAGTCTATTATGTGTGCCTTTATGGGATATAGTCCTGACCACAAAGGATTTTTGTAATATGATCCTACTATTCGTCGTATTCGGATTTCTCGGAATGTTGTGTTTCTTGAACATATCTCCTCCTTTGCTGGGGATGTTAGATTGTTTGCTCCTTGCATCTCTGCTTTGCAGGACTTTGATTCAAATGAACTACTACTTCCTCAACCGAGAGAGATATTCTTGTCTTCACCTGCAAGCGGCTACGTGTCTCGACTCCTGTGCCCACAACCCCCCTTCCACCCGATCCAGAGCATTCATCTCAGATATCCTCTATAAGTGATACCTTGACCCAAGATCCTCCTATTTTAGATAGTAGTTCAGTTATTCCACTTCGTCGTTCTACCCGTATCTCTAGACCTCCTGACCGCTATGGTTTTCTTTCAAACCATAGTTCATTTTCTGTTGTACTTTCTTCCACAGATATCCCTAGAATTTATCAGCAAGCCATTAGAAGTTCTCAGTAGAAAGAAGTTATTGATGCCGGAATTCAAGCCCTCCATGAGAATGACACTTGGGATCTTGTGCTAGCTCCTCTAGATGCTTCTATTGTTGGAAGCCGTTGGGTCTATATGATCAAACTGAAATCAGATGGCTCTCTTGATTGATATAAGGCCTGGTTAGTTGCCTAAGGATACAGTCAGGAATATGGGATTGATTATGAAGAAACATTTCCCCCGGTCACTAAGATCACCACAGTTCGGACTCTTATAGCCATTTCTGCTATTTATTCTTGGACTATTTATCAATTAGATGTGAAGAATGCATTCCTTCATGGCGAAAGGAGATAGTCTACATGAAACCTTCGCCTGGATATTGCAGTGATCCTTCACGTGTCTGTTGCCTGAAGAATGCTTTATATGGCCTGAAGCAAGCACCCAGGGCTTGGGCTTGGTTCGAGTGCTTCCGGGATGTTGTTGTTGCAACTGGGTATAATCAGAGTTCCTCTGACTACTCCCTCTTTGTTAAGAGAAGACCCCTGGGTATTACTATTCTTCTATTATATGTTGATGACATGCTCCTAACGGGGGATGACCATGATGACCATGATGACCATGATGACATACTCCCTCTTCATAACTCATTTCATATGAAGGACCTAGGTCCTCTAACTTCTTGGGTTTGGAGGTTCATCGTAGCAGTTGAGGATATTTTATTTGTCAAAAAAAGTATGCCTCTGATCTCGTCAAACTAGCTGGAATCACTGATAAGAAACATGTTGATACCCCCTTGGAGTTGAATGTCATGCTATCCAAATCCGAAGGTCTCATCTTTCCTGATGCCACCCTGTACCGTCAGCTTGTTGGCTCTTTGATCTATCTTACTATGACCAGGCCTGATATTTCACATGCTTTTCAGGTTGTCAGTCAAATTGTCTTTGCCCCGAGACAACCTCATATGACTACAGTTCACCGCATCATCCATTATGTTTGAGACACCTCTCAGGGACTGTTTTTCTCTTCCTCATCATCCATACAGTTGAGGGTTTATGCTGATGTTGATTGGGCTGGTTGCCCTGACACTCGTTGATCCACTACTGAGTGGTGCGTCTTTATGGGTGACTCTCTCATCTTCTGGAAGTGCAAGAAACATCAAATTGTCTCTAAGTCTTCCATTGAAGCTGAGTATGGAGCTGTGTCTTCTACATGTAGCGAGATTGTTTGGCTGAAGTCACTTTTCATTGATCTTGGGATTTCTCTTCCTACTCCTATCCCTCTATATGCCGACAACACCAGTGCTATCAAGATCGCATCTAATCCAGTCTTTCATGAGAGGACTAAACATATCGAGGTGGATTGTCACTTTATTAGAAACCTCCTTGTTGCAGGCTCTATATCTCTTCCTCATGTTGCTTCTCACATGCAGGTTGCCGACATCTTCACCGAAGCCATGACTAAGAGTCGACATCTCATTCTTGTGTGCAAACTGATGCTGATGTCTACACATCAGTTTGAGGGGGAGTGAAGATATATTTTGATGTCCATTATTAGAGTAGTCCTTGTTGTACAGTATCATAGTTATTGTTTTATTTGTTCTTTTTATCTTTCAGCCCTGTAAGGGCATTCTTGTATCTGTACATACTTTTTATCTCTTTAATATAAAGGAGGCTCTTTGGGGTGGGGGTCAACTATTCTTGACACCCCTAGATCTGGTTGCTTCTAGATCTGAATTCTGTTCACACTTTACATGGACCCAAAGATCACTATCTGGACAAAAAGGTAGATAGAAGAGTTCTGTATTTGGGTGGGTGGTGGGGGAGCATCCCCATGAGGGTCATATTTAAAGACAAATGGTGTTAAAAGGGTATAGGTAGCTAGGGCTAGCCTATAATTCAGTAGGGAAGGGTGCTTGGCATTCACTTTTTTTTTTTATATATATATAATTGGCGTACGCTGTATTTTTCATACATAAAGAATCTGGTTACTGATCCAAAAGAAAATGCTTGTAGTAATATAGTACCACCTGAAGCAAAGAATGCCTCTGAATTTTCTTTGCTCTTGAATTTTTTCCTTACTTGAACTGGATCCGAACACTGATGATCTACAATCTTGCTTTTGTATCACCTACTTTGACCTCAACTGCAGTTGTCGTTCCCATCTTGATGCCACATAGGCACATATGCCACCATGTACTGAGTACTGTTTTTGCTTAGTCATTTAGCTATTCATAGCAAGTTATTTTCCTTAGTTTTGTTAATGGCATAATGATTCTGACCTGGCTTGCTAAAACCTTTTGACTGCAACACATGTTTCATAAAGCACCATTTTTTTTCCTGAAATCAGTTCAAAAGAAATTGAATAAAAATACCTTGGTTGCATTTACTCTAGCTGGGTGACAGCATATTCATTGCTATGAAATTCATTATAAAAATGTAAGTTTAGTTATGTGTTTGTCTATGTTGACATGCTGTTTGGAGTTCAAATGTGTTGCCATATATGTTTTTCAAGGAATACAGAGAATGTGATTATTTGTCATGTGATATTCTTTCATTCTTCCTGTTTCTTTTTTCCTGGTAAGGTGCGCATAGCCTCAAGCGTTTTGGCCTCACTGCATGTACTCCACCCATCCCCATCCTTCACTTGAAACTGAAGATTGTAATATTCTGCAGGCTAGAAATGCCCAGTACATGTGAAGTGGCTCAGACTGCTTAAGTTGAAGTGATTTCATGTCCTTGTGTAGAAGACATATGCCTGCCCTCAGAGAAAGTTGCTGACAGCCCAAGTGCCCAACAATAATTTTGGCGTTTTCTGTTGCAAGGGTAAGAAGGGCATTAGCTATGCTCAGACCTTGTTTGATACTTTTTACCAGTTTTTCCCTTTATTTTTTGTCATGAACGATTAAGCAGGTCTAGCAAAAATCAAGTTGTTGGGATTGATCTTGGTTTCAGGCATGCAAGAGCTCACTATAAACTTATATCCTCCAATCATTTATTCTTTATTTCTTCCTTGTTTCCTTTTGAATACTGTTGAGCTTCGTTGTACCAGATAGTAGTCTCCTTTCTACCAGGAGCATAAATTTTGCACTCTTTTTCTGGGTTAGCAGACCTTATTATCTATAGATCTCCGACAGGAAATATAGGATCATACCTTATATTTGTATATTTCAAACACTGTTTTTGTTTTGTTTCTACCTATTGGTCCACAAGCTTTATGCTATTTGGTCACGGTTATTGGTTTACTAACCGGTTGAGAAGTTTTTGATAGATTCTTAGTTGAAAGGACTAAGATGGAGTCTTAGCCTCCCACGGCTCGTTTACACAGGGCTCCATGACTTGCCACTTGCCACTGCCAGTTGCCACATATTGAATATGTGACATGAGATAAGAGTTCAGATCTACTCTGCTGGCCACATCCTGTGCATAAGAAAGCTAAAGAAGCACATCGTGAACATCTTCCCCTTGCAACATAAAGTATGAAGAGATGTTCCCAATTCCCATTGGGTCTTGTGGCCAGAGCTGTAATGATGCACGGCCCACTTTTTCGGACCCTGCCTGGCATGAATCCAAGAAGGGAGCCTGGCACGGGCCCAGCCCACAGGCCTCTTGGCTTTTTGGATTTTTTTACCAAGTAAAATTTGGAAAAAAAAAAAAGAATGATGAGATGACTTTGACGGTGTGGTTTGGACCTTGTTAAGAATTACATTTGAAGTTTTGCACCACAGGCCTCTTGGCTTTTTGGATTTTTTTACCAAGTAAAAATTGGAAAAAAAAAAAAGAATGATGAGATGATGAGATGACTTTGACGGTGTGGTTTGGACCTTGTTAAGAATTACATTTGAAGTTTTGCACCCGCCTTCCTTCCATCACAAAAGGTTGTAAAACCATCGTTGATACGGACGGTTGAGCCGTTATGCCTGGAAACCAGAAAGGTCACCGGTTCTATTTTTTGCCCTGAATCGTTATTTTTTGAAAATGTTGAAGAGTCAAAAAAGCCCACTTACCCGAATGGTTGAACTGTTCAACCTGGGTAGCAGTTTGTGGGTTTAAATGTTTAATATAAAAAAATACATTAGAATGTTAGAAGATACTGTTCATTGCCTTCTTCCTTAACAAACAGGAACTGGCAACGATGAGTCCCCCCCAGAACAGTTACCAGTAATCGCATATTTTCAGTACAGAAATGGATTACAAGCAATCAACCGCTAATACTGCAGGAATATGAATACATTTCTCAACATAACAAGAATGTTTTGTCAGAAGATCAATCTCTATGGTATCCAAATCTCATTCGCAAAGAAATGAGAACGTCAATGGTTCCTTCCTCATTCATTCTCTCTGCTGCAGCAACCGGCAAATGGAAATGATGACTGCAACCATGGTGGACAACTGGACTTTGCTGCCGCCACCTCCCCCTCATTTCTTAGGGTTAACTTTGGCTGTTGGGGCCCAACAGCATAAGCTGTTGAGACAGTTTCTAGGTTGGGCACGTTTTGGGTGGTTCACCTATTCATGCCCATGCTTTGGCTTTTAATAAAAAAAAACAAGATGTAATTACTAATTTACCCATTCTCATGGCAACCTGGCATTTTCAGAAATTCTCTCAACAGCATAGGCTGTTGGTCCCCCCAACAGCTAAAGTTTTTCCCGTTTCTTATGTCATTTTTCATTCTCTTCTCTAATCCAAGGTATTTATATGATCCTTCATACCTGACCTGATATGTTAATCCAACAGTCAAGATACAACAAACAAGTAAATATTAGCCTCAACTGTTTTGACCTATTTGACCTGGACAGTTGAACCACTTATCCAAAAACTGGTGGCAAAAGTGATTTCATTTTAAGGTTGGTTTTTGAAACCTTGATCGTACACATGTTTATAGCAAAAACTAGAGTTGAAATCATGCTTCTGTAGCATTAGCAACTTTGTTACATTAGGGACGTGTTACATTAGCAACTTTGTTGGGTCCGTCCTGTAGCTATGAGCCTGACTATAAAAGACCCAACATTTAGGCTGTATATCGTTTCATAGAAGGTAAGACAAGCAGAAAGTTGAAGTTCTCAAGGATTTTTATGAAATTCCTTAAGCAATTTCCCCTAAACTTTCTGGTTTTCTCTTGCCTTCTATCAATCCAAACAGGATGCCATGAATCTGTGGCCCAAGGAGTATGTCGACAGAAGCCGTCAGAATTATCTAATGGCTTTAAACCATCTGATCTAATTGTCCTCTTCGATAGTTGTTAAGAGCTGCAACAGAACTTTTTGCACATAAACCAGTAAAAAAGCACAAAAAACAAAACACAGGATGTGCTCGATGATTCGATCTTCTGCATTTAGGATTACGGAGCCCAACTGATTCTTGGGTCTTTGTTGTCCCAAACCCAGGCATTTGCCTTCAATCTTAATGGATTGACATGTACCTATGGAAACAAACACCCTTGTCCCATACGGTTTTAGATGCTTGACTGAAGAGAATAAAAGAAATATAGAATAGTGATTAAATTATGATTGCAACCTACTCTTTGGCGACCCCAGAGAAAACATGTATCGTTTCTCTTCAACATCCCATATGCTGGAGACCTTGACCAACGCATCTTCAAGTTTAAGTCATTGTCTCTCATTGCTTCTTCACATCATTGTTGTTTCACGCTTCCACTGGTCATTTGATTAATATAAATTATGTTTGCTTGGTGAAATTATCTAATTGTACATATACTTTGCTTAAAGCTCAATACAAGTCTCATATTTGGTGCAAGTGGTAGAGAAATGCTTGCTTCCCAACTTTGAAATGCTATTGCTGGGGGGCCCTGTTCTGTTGCAGCCACATAACCTTCCTACATTGGCATAGTTTAGACTAAAGTATTTTATCACTTTGCAAAAACAATCATGTTCATGTTCTCCAACCTTGTTTGGTTTAAAAAAAATTGAAAAAGAAAATCGATAACAACAAAATAAAAACATTTGATGACGATGGCATTTTACAACCGGCTGTCCTAGTCCAGTTCATTTTTCAGGAAGCCATTTATTTAGGTAAGTGTATTTATCTATGCTTTTTTTTGATCAAAAGTGTTTTCTAGGTAAGTTAAGCATTTGCTATCTCTACCCATAAAATATCATTATAAATGGACAAATTTGTTTCATAATGTTTTGGCAATTTCTCTCCTTGGTGGGAAAATTAATTAGGAAAAATTCCTGATTAGTACCCTGTGCTTAGGGCCTATTGCCATTTTGGTTCCCGAACTTTAAAGTGCGACAATTTAGTACCCGAACTTTTAAAACGTGTCAATCCAGTACCTGTCGTTAATCAGTGTTAATCTGCCGTTAAGTGACATTTGAAAAAGACACAAATGCCCTTCAAGTGTCATCTAATTTTCTTTATCAACCATCCAAATGTTGACAAAAAAATTAACAGTCCCAAATCCTTGCCTTTTCTATTCAAGAATGTTGACAAAAAATTAACAAATCCCAACTTTCTTGAATAGAAGAGGCAAGGATTAGGGACTGTTAATTTTTTGTCAGCATTTGGATGGTAGATCAAGAAAATTAGATGACACTCAAAGGGCACTTGTGTCTTTTTCAAATGTCACTTAACGGCAGATTAACACTGATTAACGACAGGTACTGGATTGACACGTTTTAAAAGTTCGGGTACTAAATTGTCGCAATATTCCCAATTAATTATCCACTCGGAAGATAGGTATAATTCCAGATAAATTATACCAAAGATAAAACAAAAGTATACCGTGAGACCCATAGTTTACTGAAAAGCGAACATGCGATTGTTCGCTGCCATGTCAACTTCCACATGGGATAAAGTTTCAAAGAGTTGCACAACATTATACACTTTGCCACATTTTAATCTCTCTCTCATGAGTCATGAGAGGAAATATCCATAAAAAAAAAAAAAGAAAGATGGGATGAGTTGGATTAGCTTTATAATGTCCGAGTCCTATTGTTAGACCCAGGGTTCCATTTCTCTATGACTGGGACTCCCTTGCAAGTGGCCACATGGAGCAAGGGAGTGGCGTGCATGAATTACTAGTAATTAAAAAGGGCATAGGTGTAAAGTGTGACAAGCAGTGAAAGGATGAATGAATCAATAAATAAATGTAAATGGGTAGGACATGAGAAAGAAGCATGTGAGCAGGAGAGTCGGGAGGCGTAATCTGTGTATTTGGTTGAGAATGGAAACCATTAAACAATGAACCCTATTAAGCAGAGCCAGCCAATGGCAATGGGAGCTTCTGCTACTTCTAAATCATTATTAGTGAAAGACAATTTTTTACCCTATCTGGTGGGTACCTCTTTCCTCAGGGTAGGACAGATTTTAGGGAGGGGTTAGGTTTTGGGATTCTACCACGCATACCGGTATGACATTAGGTTAAACCCGATCTTCCCCAATTAATATTTTGTTGAAAAATATATGAACTTTATGTATTAGATGTTAAATTTAATAATATTTTGAATTTTATGTAAGGGATAATTGATAGTTTATGTATTAGGTGTTAAATTCGAGATGGATTCTAACCCAACCTATCCTACCCTTGAATGCGGGAGGATTTTGCATTTTTATGTGTGGGTTTTGGACCGGGTAAGGGTTAGGTGATTTAGGAAGATGAATAGAATCTACAATTTACAAAACCCTCCCCGAATCCGCCCTGTTGATTTCTGGATTGGCCAATCTGTCAAGTAGGACCCATTGTGTATACACAATTATTCTGCGGCCTGTGCATGTGATTCCATAATTTGCCAAGAACCAGCGTTGCTGTTATTCAATAGTATATTAGCCCATGTAGACATTCTAATGATTTAGAATCTCTCTGTGTTTCCTGTAGTTTGTATTGTAGGATTAAAAGAAAGAGAAAAGTAAAGAGTTGTTCTATAAATTAATAGCTTCTATCAGATCAATTGAGAGTGAGAATGAGAAAATGTTTCCTAACTGGTATACATGTACATAGGGTTGTCCTTTAGATGACTTTCTCCTGCTCTGTCTGGTCAGTCGTATGAGAAGAATGATGTGGCTCATTCTCTTAGTTATTAATTTTTAAGAAAAAAAAATCTCTGAAAATGTGTGTCCATTTGTCCAAATCCAATTTCATTAGGGCGATCCACCTCAATCTGATCTTTTCTGTTTATTTTATTTACATTTGTCGTTGTACTAAAAT